ACATCCGAAGCTTCCTATCCTTCTTTAGAATAAACAAGACTAGGTAGCCTGCTAGTAATATCGATAGTCTAATATATCCTATCTTGAGATTCTCCTTAAGATATCTCCTTAACTTAGTATCTTGCTTCTTATTAGTATAGTATACTTTAAAGAACTTTAACTAGGTGTCATGAACTAACCTGCAGAGGCCGGTGGGGGCCGACCTGCATGGTCAACGGGCGGCGCCCGTACCCAATCATTACGAGGAAGAAGGAACCAATGAGGATTAGGGAAATCAGGAACAATGCCAAGAACGATTGTTCCTGGGGAACAACGCCAAGGAACGTTGTTCCAGATGGAACAATGGGAACGACAATTGTTCCAAATGTTCCAGAGATCTAGGTACGGGATACCTAGGGGAGGAAGCTGTATATAGTTCTACCATTCTGCCTCTCATTCAGATAGCTAGCTTCCTCAGTGAGCAATTACAAGCAGTAAAGTAGCCCTACATTACTGTGCAGACATTGCGACTTGCATTGTTGTGAACCTTTTGGCTTCACCGAGACCTACAGTCCGACCAGCAGATACCTTCGACCGGCGAACCCTTTCAGAGGCAGGACTGCCTGTGGTTTCGTCACACTAGGCTCCTTCCTTAAGGTTGATTTTATAATCCCAAGGTCTATAATCTAATAGCCCTTTAAGATATTTTACTTCGAACACCGGGTATCCCTAGTATTCTGCCAGGATCTTACCTATCTCTGTGTTTTTCTCTATACTTCGGTAGTATAAGAACTTGTCTCTGGCCATAATACTAGCTACTTCTCTCTAGGTGACCTAATCCTAGAATTCGAATTCTCCGGTCTTGTTAATCGAGATAATAGCGATTTCGATATCGTCTATATCTCTCTAAGCCGTACAAGGATATCGTCGCAAGTGGCGTTGTCTCTAGCCTAGTCTTACCGATTCTCGCTGTTCCTTTTAGTAACTGCCGCCTCTTCCTAAGTCCGTAGTGCTCTGCCTAGCACTGTCTGTCTCTTGCGATAGATCTATAGGGGCCGCCTCCCGGGGCGATCTTCCCTGCTACGATCCATCATCCGCGCTTCCTATCCTATTAGTCGGATATAGCCTTTGTTCTCAAGGTTATAGGTGGCTACCTCCCTTCCAACTAATGTCTAGGTTGTAATCTCGATACTATAGGCATCCAAGGATTATATCCTTCTTAGGCCCTATTTCGACAATGTCAAATACCACCTTAATAGTTTTCCCTTCTACTATAATCGCAAGTAGTTCTATTTCTTATCGGACCCATTAGATGTCGAATGGTCCTTTAATAATATATTATTTCTTCTTGATCCTCTACGGGATCCTAAGTCGGTTGACAAATGCTAGCGAGATAAGGTCGACCTAAGATCCTCTATCTACTAATGCCAATATTTAGAACCCTTTTTAGTATGCTATAACCTAGATTCTATCGTTAGGTTTATTATCCTAAATTATAGCGGCTTCCTTCTCGCTCGCTAGGAGGTTATAGATCCTTTTCCTCGTATAGTTCTTCCTATACCCGCAGATCTATTATCGCTATAATAGATTCAGTAGTTTCTAGGCCCCTTAGAGGGCCCTAAGCTATTTCCTAACTCCGTCCTAGCGTCTGGATAGACGTCCCTATCCTCCTATACCTTTTGGTTACCGTCCTGCGGTCCAAGCCTTAGGAGTTCCTCGAACAATTGTCGAATTTCGTTGGCTCTTCTTCCTTCCTCTCGCTGTTCGCAAGGTATTATCTATCTTCGTATATGTATCTTGCGTTCGTAGTATTCTTGGAGCTTTGCTTATATATGGATTAAGCAATCCTAGCTCTTGTACTATTGAGTGCTATTAGGCCACCGCTGGCAGTCTTCTGGCTAGATTCTTCGCGGTATTATCCTAATTCTATTATATACGCTGGTCCTCTCGACCTTCTATAGGAACTGATCGGCACCGGTTCCTATATCCTAAACCCACGGGACTAGTCGGGGTTCTCCGCTTTGGTTGGTAGGCCTATTGGGCCAAAAGTCGTTGTCGAATTTCGATCGGAAATAATATCGGCATTCGTATACAATATACTAGAACCATAGGACATAGACGTAGTCGTATCGCTAGGGTTGGAGCCAAAGTGCGTCTCGCTCATAGGGTTCGTAGCGCGGGCCAAATCCGATCTAAATACGCACCGCGTTACTATCCCCGACGCCGTTATACGGCTTTTTGCTCCAAAAAGTGTCCTAATCTTATAGTTCCTGCCCCTTAAGTCTTCGCTGGCTCTAGGCCTTCTAGTATTCGGTTTCGGGATTCTTGATTCTATTATTCCTCCTACCCTGGCCTTGGTCTTATACCGGTCCATCCTACAAGTTCGAGTAATGCTCTTCCTAGACCCTGACTAACTTGGCCTTGACGAATTCTAGCTGGCTTATAGCCTAAGCCTTTTCTTCCGCGAGTCTTTAGGTAACCGTTCGAAGCTCGGCTTATTCCTCTTCGGCCTCCTGAAGGCGTTAAGCAAGAAAGATAGGGTTTGGGCCAATAGGTTCGTTGTCCGATTATTATATTCTCCATTGACCTTCCTTATTCTAAGTCAACTGGAATCCCCAGTCTTCTGCAAGTTGCGACGCTATGGCGGCGGCAATATCGTAGCCTATAATAGGTTCTTCAAACGTAATGTAGGGGCTATTGTTTCCTGCCCGGGAGAAGTCGTCGATACTTCCTTTGGCCATGCCCCGGTCGACTATATTGTCAAAGTCATCCTCGGTATAGCTTGCCGCAGCCACTTTAACTACGTAGGTTGACTTATCGATCGTGGCGTTTTCCTTGCCGGGCACCTGTTTCCAATTTCTTTTGCTATAGCACTCCTGCTTAAAGTACCCTTTCTTGCCGTAGTTGAAACAGGTGACTTAGGACTTATCCTTCCGTCCTTTATCCTTACGCTAGGTGGTATCGACATCTATAGGACTAGCATAGGTACCGTACAATATACTAGGGTACTATCGCTTCTTTTTATCGTTGGCTTTAACGAATATAGGCTGTGTTCTACGTCCCTTATGCTACTAGTGTCTAGTGTAAATTCGATTGTCGATATAGATAGCTATAGCGATATATTCGTCAAGCATATTAGGCCGGTCTTTCTAGTATAGTTTGTCCTTGACTTCTTCCTTTAAGCTATTGTAGAACAACTATATAAGACCTTCGTCGTTAATTTCGCACCGGAGCAAGTCCTGGCGGAACTATATAGTATAGGCAGCTGCCGACTTAGTCTACCTTAGGCATACGAGTTGCTCCTATATATAGAGCTTCTTATCATAGTCCCCAAACACCTTCTGGATTTCCTTCTTAAATTTGTCGTATGACTTGAAAATTTCAATAGTAAAGTCGCCCTGAACGTCTATACTATTGGTTAGCCAATCCTTGAGAGTAGGTTCAAACCATCGAAGTGCCTTCCCCTCGAGCTACAAGAAGATAAATATAACTTTGGCGGATTCGTCTGCGAACTTGTCCGGGTAGTACTTAAGATAGGCCCTTATAGATATAAGGAATCTAGTAAGTCCTTCCTTGTCACCTCTATACTTGGGGGGTGCTTCAAATTTGGCTTTGTCCTTAGGCTTGCTATTATAGGCCTTGTTGATAAGTTGCTATATATTGCTGTTCTCGGCCTCGAGTTAGGCGATCTTATCGTTAAGAGTCTTAAGGACCTGGGTATTGTCATTCTAAGCCTCAAGCTAGGCAATCCTTATATTGAGGGTTTCGATGACCTATTGCATCTGCTGTATGGTCGTAGTCTGGCCCTGGGATCCTAGGGTGCTAGGTGTCTAAGGCGCTATGATGATCGATATTACCTTCGATCTGAACCATGATAGAGTCAAAGAGAGTAAGCAACGTATGACGAAACTATAGGCAGTCCTGCCTCTGAAAGGGTTCGCAGGTCGAAGGTAACTGCTGGTCAGACTATAGGTCTCGGTAAAACCAAAAGGTTCATAACAATGCTTGTCGCAATATCTGTACAATAGGTGTAGGCTATTGCTTGTATTGCTTACTGGAGGACTCCTAGAGCCTTCCCTAATGAATGACTATATACTAGCTATTTCCCCGTGGACGCCCGTGCTCGCCAGCGTCCTCGGGCGTCCATACGGTCGCTCTTGGACGCTGTCGTCCCCCGGCGTCCATGTGGGGCATCCTGCGGCCTTACGCTTCCCGATTGGTAACCCCGTCACCTGCATGGTCCCACTAGGTTGGGTTATATGGTTGGTTCGTAACACTACTTCCGATTACTAGGCTGAGCTAGTTTTGCCTTGCCACGCCTATCCGAGGTTGTAACCACTATACCCGTAAAGATAACACCCATTATAAACCCAGTCTTATCAAAGTTGTAGATATTGTCATCGACAATCCTATATTTAGCCCTAGTATTCTATACAAGTGCAAACCACTCGCTAATGACCTATAGATCCTTGCATTTAGCCCTCTAGTAATTATGCTTGTATATATACCGTATATGGAGCTCTAGCTAGCGTTTAACAAAGTTATAAGCCCAGCGTTTGCCGACAGGGGGCACGTCGCATTCGCGTAGTAGGTAGTTAGCCATATCTTCTACACCACTTAATCTAGGTGGAAATACGCATATAGATAGCTCAGTTATATACTGAACTATTGACTTCTCTTCTAGATCCGTGAGCTTACGCGAGTTGGCTAGAACATCGCGTCTTGCAGCACGTCCCTTGCGCCGGTGGCGAATCGTTGCTTCTGGAACGTTGTATAGCTTGGCTACCGCCCGGATACTGAGATTCTCGCTCTGTTTGATAGCTTCGAGGGCTAAAAGAAGCCTGGCTTCTTTTGAGGGGCTATGTATGGCTTGTTGCGGTGGTATTTGGTGGAAAAGTTTAGAGGAGGCGCGTCGCACTAAAAGTGCGTCGCTCGCTTATCTGCGTCGCTCGCTTATCATGTACGTTAGGTAAAGTTTCTATATTAGGTAACTCAGGTTTGTTTCCAAGCTTACAGCTTCAGGGCACTGCAAAGCGTGTCGCTGTACCAGATAAGCTTAGTCGTGGAGGAAGGCGCGTTGTTGCGTGCAGCACTGGATAAAGTCACGGGTAGGTACCTAGGTACGATTCAAAACAACTTGAATCTTTCAGCAAGCACCGACCCTAGCTTAAACTTCAAACCTACACATCACAAATCACCGACAACCAGACAATTTCCAGCTTCGGCCTGTCCTTCTTGAGTTCCCTTCCCGAAGTTCGACCATGGCAACCCCGACTGGGCACAAGGGCTTGATTGACTTGCCAGTCGACGCCCTGGTACAGGCCGCACCGAACCTGCACTGCCTCTGCCTGGGATCGACCGAGTACGACGCCTCCCGCCTCTCATTCCCAACTGCACCACTTATCAACCTTCGGCGCCTCTTCTTCGACGTCTCCTGCAACCTTCATTCGACGCTTCTGACCGAGATTGTATCGAACGCTCCCAAGCTCGAATTTCTAGCCTTGCACTGGGCCGGATTCACGCGCATGTACGAAATGAGGTTCCACAGCGGAGAGGCCGTAGTCCGGTGCACTACTGGAGTATGGGACGTGATCCAGACGTGCCGCGATTCGCTCCGCGAGCTGCGCGTCCATATCTCCGACTACATCAAGAGCAAAGTACCCGAGGAGCGCGACTCGCCTCGCGACTTTCGCCGGCTCGAAGTGCTCAAGTTGAACGACCACGCACTGAGCGCGCTTTACGATGCTTGGAAGAAGAAGAACCGGTACACAGGCGAACCGGATAGCTTCCTGTCCAGCATACTCCCTCCGATGATTCGAGAAGTTACATTCTGGGATCTTAAGGGGCTGGCTATGCGGGCGGCAATGCAGAGCTTTGCGAGAGTCGCCGCATTTGGGCCGTTTCGCTATCTGGAGAAAGTGACGGTGGCGCCGTCGGAGGCCAAATACGGGCCAAATAGTCCATGGTACAACTGGAGGACTTGGGCTGATGTTGAGGCGGAGTTGGAGGAGAATTTTACGAAAGCCGGTGCAAGTTTCGAGTTGGTGAAGTCGGACCAGGTAATTATATGGGGATGGGACTTTCGACTGGACCCCGTGCTTTACCTAGCCAGGTCAGGGCTGTCACTCAGCGGTTGTCTGTAGGAGAGTGCAAGGGAGATATCAAACCCCTCCGAAGGAGTTTCGCAAGGATGCTAAAGAAGGCCAACTGGCAGACGCTGCGAATCGACGCAAAGAGGAACAGCTAAGAAATGTAGAGTAACAGTTTGATAGGTACCCAGTAAGGGGGATCAATTGTATCGTACATTTACTCCTATTGATCCACAAACAGGCCGCCAGTCGCTGTTAACCATGCTCAAAGGGGAGGGCCTTATGAAAACATAACTGCGAGATCAGACCAAGGTTGTTATGGTTCCGAGTCCTCTTCAAGCATTCGACGTTGTGATTACACCCCTGGTATTGTACAACTGTGATACCACCACATCCCAAGATTAGCATCTAGGTTCAGGCTCAACAAGCCAACCGAAAACCCATTGTCCATCCAATGCTGCTGAAGGGTACCAAGCGTTCTGGTAAGGTATCCAAGTACGTCAGTTAATCGGAGGATCCAACTGGAGCCCGAACCTTAACCACTGGACATTTGGCTTTGGAGTTCTCGGTCCGTCACCACAGGTCAACAGCTACCTGGGTCCCCCATTCCTTGTTCTATTCCCCTTCAGTAACCGTAGGTGGCAGTGTCGTGCAGTGGGCTGACGAATAATTCGTGGGAGGCGCACTATAAATAATCTGATAGTACCAAGTATTATGCATGACCTCGTGGCAGATGAGCTGTTCATCTTCCACTCCTCGCTTCCTGTGGGCTTGGATCTGTGGGCTCTGGCTTTGTATCTCGTACAATCTAGTCTCATCCTTGACAAGCGGTTCAAGCTGGATATTTACTAGCTGAAGCGCAAAAAAGATGCCTACTACAGGAATCGAACCTGTGATCTTTGCATTTGTCAAACAGTACAAGTGCAACGCATTAGCCACTATGCTAAGCAGGCTTCAATTTATGATTTCGATTCTTTTCCCTGCCTAATTATGGTACAATATGCTCCGGATTCCGACCGTCTGCGGTATCTACCTGACGTGCCTGAGTACCTAAAATTCTAGTTATTGTTTACCGTAGTTACACTCGGAAGTTTCGGAACCCAGGCCAACGTCAATAAGGGAAACTCCGGCATCCGAAGCAAATTCTAAGTCCTATGATCTTTTGTAAGCATGTGTGCTGGCATAGGCAGGCGCAGCGACGGATCCATTTGTTGATTGACAACATGCTGTGCCATGCTGATGCAGCCGACAAACCCGACAATTTGATGATCCCCATGCAAGGCCCTTCCGCACCACGTCACCTCTGTTGACTATAAAAGAATAAGCTATGCCACTCTTGGTTAAAAGGCTGGACAACATCCATTACCCTCTTTTACCGTGATATCCAGGCGACGCCAACCTGACCATCGCGATGCTCCGAGTCCACAACCTCTTCCTTGGGCTGTGCATCATGCTCTTGGGCATCATCACAGGAACCTACGCCACCGCCGCGACACACCACCCAACACCGATGAACAAGCGCACCGCGCAGGAGGTCATCACCCAACTCAAGCTAATCCCTAATGTCGAGGGCGGGTATTACATCGAAACCTTCCGCGACACCACCAACGTGACCTTCACGGCGACCAGCGCCAACGGCACCACCTCCGGCGCCGTGACCACCCGCTCGGCCAGCACGGAGATCTACTACCTCCTCGAGGGCGCCACGGGGCATTCCCTCTGGCACCGTGTCGATGCCGTCGAGGTGTGGCACTACTATGCCGGCGCGCCGCTGACGCTGTTCCTGGCGCGTGACGACGGGTCGCCCGTGCGCGAGGTCACCCTGGGCCCGGACGTGTTTGCCGGCCAGCAACCGCAGGTTGCGATCCCGACGTGGGAGTGGCAGCGGGCGAGGAGCTTGGGGAAGTGGACGCTTGTTGGGACGACTGGTACGTCTCTTTTCTTTTCTTTTTTTCCCTTCCGTCTCTTCTTCTTGGGGTTGGGATGACTGGAGGACCGCCCGCGGGATGGCCTGCTATTTTTTGCTGAACCTGAGTTCGGAGGCTAACCTTGCCTTGTTGCTATTGTTCTAGTTGCGCCTGGGTTTGATCCGAATGGTGTTGAGCTTGCGGATCCGGACTGGGTGCCGGATGCTTGAGGTGGTCCCTTGTGTCTCTGCTCAGCCGCTGTGGTATAGACTATAGAGCCAGCTTGTGAATGCATAATGGTCTCGCTATCCCGTCTTACCACACACTTCATGAGCGACGAGAAGACATATGTATAAGACATGTAGCCCCAGAACGGAAAGGGGCTGCAGGCTGCAGTGATGATCGTGCGCTGATACTGTAGGTTGATTGGCCTAGTCGGTTAATTCCGCTCGCTTGTCGCCTCACCGGCCAGCAGCGATCGCTGCTATGGCCTATCCTCAGTAATGCAATCGACACGGGATTATGTCACGGCGCGGGACGGAGTTGAGCGCGGCTGAATAGGGCCGAGACAAAGATGAAAAGCGGTAACCCACACAGGATTACATTGGCAGCGGAACATCCTCCGAAGCCGCTGCTTATAAGTAGTCAGTACTTAGCAAAGGAGCAAGATTGTGGTATTTTATGACATGTCCAGTTGCTTCCTCGTAGAGTTTGAGGGTCACAAGGTCGAGTGGTGGTCCGATAGGAGTCATGGGACAACGTGACTGGGACTTCACGTTTCTTTGAATAGTATGTATGGGGATAACCCAGACCCAGAATTCTATCTTTTCCACATGCTCCGTTGTGTCTCTGTACTGTACTTCATGGGCGCGGCTGGGTTGTGCTCGTCACCTTCCATGCCAGCCGTCTCACTCTCCATCACCACGCTGATCAGTTAACAACCACTCGCAACTGAAACATGACGCTAACGAGGTGCATGATTTGATTGCCTCAGGCTGTTGTAGGCGTTCAAGACGACAGGACAGACAGCGCAGGGCTGTAAATTTACAAGTCACCAGTTCTCAATTGCTTCGGGGTCCGCTAGAGAGTAGCGTAGGTGCTACTGTTGTAGTGTTAGCACTGCAGATATACTCCTGCTATTCTGGAGTCTACGTTCTGCCTAACGACTTGGTCCACCTGTGCAATGCGGTATATCCTGCTCATTCTAGTACTTCCTCTGTAGAAAAGTAACAAGTGTGTCTTCACAATTCCGTGCATTCTCTCAACGTAGGCATCTGCAGGCGGTGCTGTTCAAGCGTTCAAGACCCGAGTTAAGTTACTTGACCCGGATTTCTCCCACAGTCTGAGATACACATCGCGGCAGGATACTGCAAGGGAGGTCGAACAAAGTTGGCCAAGGGCCGAGACAACCCAGGCAAAGACGACATAGGACGAACGGCTTGATCACATCATCCAGGTCACCATAGCGGCATGGACACGGGAAACAGACGCTGATCCATCGCGAATCGATTCCTCGGCCAGATCACCACTGGCATGGAAGACGGCAGGTAAACCTGCGAGTCTGCGACCACCATACGTCATTACGGACTCGAAGGAATGCTGAAGGTGCCGATTGTGTGCTGCTGTGCTATACGGGGGCGAATTCCCGGATATATAAAGGCCAGGCAGGTTGCTCGACGTTGGGGAAACGAGCTCTCCATCAAAGATCAAGCTTCAGCTCAATCTGCTCACACTGCTCCTAGAACACTGCCTACTCATTGACTACCTATTGAGATCCATATCTCTTCCAAATCCAACCAACCAACACCATGGCTACTACCATCACTTGCGATGTCCAGGCTAAGTACGACACCCAGTACTACGGAACCCTGACCGTCAGCAACATACGCAACAGCGACAACACCGCGGTGAAAATCAGCTCCTTCCTCGGCCTGACTTTCAAATCTCCGGCCGCGGTCGACAAGACCGCTTTCAATGTGTCTCTTACCCCGTGGCAGGAAGTCAAGGCCATGGTCGAGAGCGAACAGATCAACTCGTCGCTCTACTCCGTCTCGGCTGGGCTCCACGTCAAGTCCCCCCACACGTTCAACACGGGGGACACCATTACGATCGGCATCAATGGCGACTTGGGCCATGACACCGAGACGTACGTGAAGTCCTTCGTGCTCGCGGTCGACAAGATTCCCGACACCAGTGGCAAGGTCGACATCCACTGCGAGGCCGCGCCCCATCCGATGCTCGCCAACTCGCAGCAGGAGGTCACCCTCACGGAAGGTAACCGCGTCGTCTCTGCGCACGTGCTGCCCGGCAAGAACGAGGTTGTATCGGCGAAGGCCGGCAACTACGCCGTTGCAGCCCGCGAGCTCGCCACGGCGGACGAGACCTACGTCGCCACCGCCCACGCCACGCCCGCCAGCTTGGTTGTCGAGGCCGGCAAGACCGCGTTGGTTAGCGTCACTTACAGCAACGTAAGGGCGTACAGCGCTCTCGACATAGCCATTGGCAACCTGCCTGGGCTGGAGAACGACCAGCTGCTCGTCGCCGTCGATGCCGGCAATGGCTCCAAGCTGGCCACCTTCTCCAGCCCCATCAACCACACCACTTCGCTCCGCCGGCTGCCGTCGACTGGCACTGCGGCCATCAACGTTGGCACGATCACGCTCAACAACGTTGAGTATTCGTTCCCGACCCGCAGCCAACCTCTGTCGCCCTCGCTGCTCACGGTCTCCTTCTCGGAACAGGACGCCCAGAAGAAGAAGGTCGAGGAGGCCGGCTTCGTCCAGCTGCCCATTGTGATGGACTCGGCCGTGACGCTTGACAGGACGATCCTGGTAAGACTCAGCTCGGCCACCCTTGGCTACACGCAGACAGTGAAGGCCGCGCCCGGGACCACGTCGTTCGCCTGCAATGTCGGCCCTGGCAAGTATACCGTTCACACGGCAAGCTTCGTCCAGGACGGCGTCGTCTACTTCGTCGACGCCGATGAGACGCTCACCGTCGCCAGCAACGGGACGACGAAGCTCCACGTGCACCTGAAGAAGGGTCCCGGTCTCCATGTCCGCGGGATCCCCGACTTCCTGAGCTTCGGCGGCTGCGCCAACCTGACGCCCACCAACCTCGACGACTTCGTGGCGGCGCGGGCGTCTTCCGTATTCAAGTACGCCGGGATCGACGGTGCCGGTGATGGCGGCGTCTACCTGCCGGACGACACGCAAACCAAGGCCACGATCCAGCTCGCTCGCAGCATCGAGACCAAGCTCGCCGACGGCAACCCGGTGCTGCCGGTCATGGTGTCCTACACGTGCAACCTCTCGTTGGGGCACACCACGGGCCAGCTGCAGAACAAGGAACAGCTCGCGCGGAGCTTCGCCAACTTCATCCTTGCACTCAAGGTTGCCAAGGAGGCCAAGGACGAGAAGCACCCCGTTCCAGCCGGGTTCGTGGTCAACCCGGACTTCCTCGGAGCCTGCCAGCAGGAAGGACTCGCGCCGTCCTACCGCATGCCCGTGACCGAGCCGCTGCAGACGGCGCTCGACCACCACAACGTGCCCGACAAGATCCCGGCCGCCATCACCGACGACCTCCGCAGCTACGTGCGCGCGGTCAACTGGCTGGTCCGGGCGGTCGCGCCCGAGGTGACATACGGATGGCAGGTCAACCTCTGGGGCGTCGGGCACTCCCGGTGGCTGTACTCGACGGGCGACGCGGCCGAGGACCCGGCCCAGCTGGCCAAGCAGACGGCCGACTACGTCCTGAGCCTGGGCGTGTACGAGCCCGTCCCGTCGCCCGTCAAGCTCAACCTGCGGACGATGCGGTCGGTCACCCTGGCTGACTTCGAAGCGGCGACGTACCTGCCGGCTCCGCCCGACTTCATCGCCGTCGACCGCTACGAGGCCGACGACTTCACGCTGCGCGCTTACCACAACAGCTACTGCTACGGCCCGCACGAGTGGCGGCGCTTTTTCGCCTTCTGCCGCGCGCTGAGCGCCCACCTCGCGGCGCCCGTCATGCCCTGGCAGATCCCCGCCAGCCGCATCCCGCTCACGACCGAGGTCGTGTCAGACCTTGAGAAGGAGCACTGGGGCACGGCCGGCAGCTGGATCCTGGGTCATTCCGAGGTCGGCTCGGACTACCACACTGTGAACCAGAACATTTTGAACTTGGAGCTCCCCCCGGTGCACCAGCCTTTCATGGGCAAGAACCCCAGGGATATGTTCATCCGCGGTGAGCCGTTCGATTTCAGTCGGCCTGCCTACGAGGACTTTCCGGTGCGCGGCATCTTTACGGTGCTGCTCGGCGGCGGAGCGACGACGGGCATTGTGAGTGATGTCGGCAACCCGGAGTCGTGGGTGAGGAACAAGTTGAACAAGTATATGGAGCGTCCTATCAACCTCCAGACGGCCAAGGTGGGGTAATAAGTGAGAACTGTGGAAACACTGAAGTCAGCGAGCGTGACGGGTTCGGTCGGCGTCGGTGTAGGGCAGTGGTGGCTCGAAGTTCTACACCACCTAAGGGCAATGCTGCCGGTTTTCTTCTTCTAAGAGATGTCTCTTTGCCGATTCCTCGTCTGCTCTATCTCTTAATTCATATACCTCCTGAGAAAGCCTCGCAATTTTTTCCTTGAGTTTATCAACCATAGCACTAAAGCTAGGCTCTGGAGCCGAAAGCTATAGATATGGTTAGCGATCATTCAAGATTATTATTATTATTATTATTATTTCCTATTCCGCTTTGCCTTCGGGCACGTCGGTCCTTCTACTGCTATTTACAAAGGAAACCGTACCGTATAGGTCGGACAAAAGCCTTCGTCGAAGATCAAGACTCTAAAACCAGACAAATACTACGAAGAAAAAGAGGGCTATAAGGCTAGCCCCCAGGCTCTACCTAGCCCTCTATTTCTAGCTCTAGCCGTCGGGCTAGGCTATACTCTAGTAGCAGGCCGGAGTCCATCAGCCAACCTATAACCTTCCTTGCTAAGCGAGCACTCCAGGCCCCTATTCCTTAAAGGACAAGGTCCAGGTCCCGCTGTGACCGAATTTCTCGGGCTTCCCAGGTCTTCTGGACGGGCGGTTAGAGGCACCAAACCGCCCAGTGCTCGACCGTTTCCTCTCTCTCTTCGTCCTACAAGTTCAGTATTCTTATATTGCGGTTAATTGCCTATATAGGACCTAAAGTAAAATTTGCTTAGGTTGACTAAGCCTTTAAGTTTTGTCTTTTTCATAGGTTACTAATATATATATATTGCAAGCACAATCTTATAGCTTTTACTGGCAAAGCCGTATATAAAGTCAGCACTATAGCTTACTAGTGACATACTAGTGATCTGTCTGTTGCCCATATGTTAGGAGGGGGTTACCCCCAGCTAGATATTTCTGACGTCTAGATTGTGGCCTTTTGAAGTTACTTCGAAAAAGAAAAAAAAAAAGACAAAGAAAGAAAAAAAGAAAAAGAAGGGAAAAAAGCAATGGAAAAGGGAAAAAAGAAGAGAAGAGAAAAGAAAAGAGAAGCGAGACCATGCGCTTCACAGAATGAGGTGCGGAGCCTGCTACGCGCTGTGGACGCAGATAAAGTCCCAGCTCCTAGATGACCTCTGGACCCAATTATATAGCAGCACGCAGCTTATAAGCGGGCCCAAAACAAAACGAAGGCTTTTTGTCCTCCGGAAACTTGAAGATGAGCAGCTCTCCGGATTCGCACCCCACCACGACCCTGCCGCCGCGGACGGCGATGGAACTAGACGTCCCGTAGTCGCTCGGGGTATACTGCGCGGGGAGGAAGACGATTTTCCGATCCCTCCATGTGATCCATCGCTTTTCGGTGTCCAGGCCGTACGAACGCTCCAGGGGGAGCTTCTCCGAGCGGATGGGCCGCCCCGGTCTCGACGAAGCTGGCGCCGGCGCATTATCGTCTTCCGGCGGCAGAAGCAGGTCCGTCCCCCGCCAGGCGCCGAACTCAGTGAGTAGCACGTCTGGGAGGGCTGGGTCAATACTCAGCACGCGCGGCTTCCACTCCTCGATCCACTCGTCGACAACCCTCCACACGCACTCCCCCTTCTGCGTTCTCCAGAGGCTGACCCTACCCACGGACGAGATCGAAACGAGTTTCGTGCCGTCCGGCGAGAACGTGAGGCCGCGGACGTTATCCCACGTGCTATCGAGCTGCTTGCACGGCTTCTGCTGTTCCTGGTCGTCCCCGGTCGCAGCCTGCTGCTCGGCCAGGTCCCAGAGCAGGATCCGGTCCTCGTCCCCGCCCGAGGCCAGCCATCTTCCGTTCGGAGAGAAGGCTACGCAAAAGACGTAATCTTCATGGCCAACAAGCACCCTGCTTTTGAGCGGCGCCGGGCGGCCTTGATCGTGGTCGGCGGCTGCGGCGCCGCCCGGGCCTATGTTGTCGCCGGGCGATGGGTCATCGAGTTCCCACAGCCGTACCGTGTTGTCGTCGGACGCCGAGGCTACGAGCCGGTCCTTGGGGCAGAGCGCGACGCAGCGCACCCAGTCCGTATGCCCTTCGAGCCTTCGAATCATTTTACCCTTGCCCGCGTCCCAAACGCCCACCGTCCGGTCGTTCGAGGCCGAAACAAGGATGTTCCCAGTACTGGAGAAAACGAGGTATTGGATTTCGCGATCGTGCCCAGGGAGTTGGTGCAGCTGTTTCCCCTCGTCCGCGTCCCAGAGCACGATCAGGCCGTCTGATGAGGCCGATGCCATCCTGTTCCCGTTTGGAGAGAATGTGACGAAGGTGACGGGCGCCGTGTGGCTTTGCTGCTGCGAAGAGGTGTCCTGGTTTGAGACGTGGTTGAGGTCAACTGCGGCCTCCACGGCGTCCTCAATGCGCCAAATGCGTGCTGTCTTGTCCGCCGACACTGAAACCATGTGGCGTCCGCTCGGAGAGAAATAGATCTTAAACAACATCTGGCGGTGTTTCCACTGTCCTGTGAGGACTTGCTCCTGCTGGACATTCTCAAAGTCTCCCTGCGTGGCTGCTTTCCATATTCGTATCGACTCGTCCGCGATCCAGGCGAGACGCTGCCCGTCGGGAGAGAACGATATCGTGGATATGTCGTATTCTCGGCCTTCTGAGCGGATCTTTCGAAGCAGCTGTCCACTGGCGGTGTCCCAAATGTGCACTGTGCCATCATTTGACGGCGATGCCAAGAATTTTGCGTCGTGAGAGAAGGAAACACAAGCGGTTTGGCTGGGAATGGACAGCTTATGCTGCACCCTCCCCCTTCCTCCGTCCCATTTCCACAGTTCGATGGTAGTGCCGGAAACTGTTACGGCGAGCCATGCCAGCTGACGGCCGTTTGCGGAGAACGTCACGCATCCGAAGCCTTGGTCTTCCGCGTATTCGTTCTCATCATCGGTCCTGTCCTCGTCTTCGTCTTTGCTCTCGGCTTCGCTCTCAACTTTCTTGGTTTTTTCAGTGGCAGCCAGCACACTCATTCGGTAGGATGGAAGATCCCAGGCGACGACAGAGTTGTTGGTCGCGGCTGCGAGAGTGTCTCCACTCGGCGACAAGGCAATGCATCGAATGGAACCTTCCGATTCTTCGCCTGCTGCTGGCGGTTCTGCTGCCGCGAAAATGTCGCCAGGATTTAACCTCTTGACGACTTTCCCCGTTGCAGAGTGCCACAGCCGGATAGCAGAAGCGTCCGACGCAGCAACAAGGCCAGAGTTGGAGACGGCCACACATTCCACGTAGGACGAGAATTCGGCCTCTATTACGTGCTGAGGCCTCCCGGTCCCAGAGTCCCAGAGACGCACCGTCTTGTCGTCCGATACCGAGACCACAAGCCGCCCATTAGCGACAAAGGCGCAATCACGAACCCAATCTTGGTGGCCTTCCAGGACGTGCACGCAGGCATCTCGTGCCCACCCCGTTGGTTCCAGCGCGAGCGTTTTGGTAAATGCCTGCAGCGCCTCCGGGGCCAATATATGTTTCAGTTGGGCCGAGCGGGAGCAAAAGAGAAAACTGTTACGGGGATCGAGGTCGGGAGGACTGCCCGAGAATTCGTGGAATCGGAGGGCCAACGTAGCCGTGCGGATATGCTCGTGGCAGGGCAGCCGTATCTGCTCAGCAGTGTCAGCACGCATCGGGTTAGCATGTCGATGTCATTGCCTGCATGTAACGGTGCTGCAGCCCAGCGAGCGGTCACGGCCTTTCGTCCACAAAATTACAGGGATGGCTGCCTGGGTACTTCGTACATACCTCTTTGAGAAAGGCCTCGAGTGTCTGCAGGTCGCTCAGGGCTCGCCCTAGAAGGCTCTGCGATGCCAGGATCTCCAGCCATGGCAGGAAATAGCTTCCGAGAAAATCGCTGAGGTGTTTCATCTCATTTTCGAGATCGTCAACGTCGACTTTCACTAGGTGCCGTATCCAGTAAACCAGTTCGTAGCTGTCTGGTCTTGGCTCGCCTTCGCGCTCGGGCTTCCTAGAAAGCTGTTCCCGAAGGATGCTCAGGCATCGTTTTATCACGATCCTGTGCGTCTTGGACACCATCCTCTTCTCTCTTAGTTCCCGTCGCAGGTGATCTCTCGCTGACAGGCTGGTAAAGCCCACTTCGTCCTCGCGCACCACCAAAAATGAGGAGCACATCCTGGGTATCATGAGCTTCGGGTCGACCTCGGGAGGCAGGTCGACAATGGCCGCGAACTCAGGGATGGATAGTGGCCGGAACACGACTGCCGCGATCGACAGGGCAGCTTCGCAGCGAGCTTTGTCGTCGGCCTCCAGTTTGTCGAGCTCTTTCTTCAATTGACAAAACAGGGACGGGACGTCCCTCGGCAGGCCGCTGAGGATGCGAGGCGCATTCCAGGGGATGCCCGGCAACTCGATTGCATGGCAAGCCATGTCCACCCAAAGGAAGTTTCCAGGCGACAACTCTTTGAATGTCTCCACCACCTGCGTCTGGAGTGTGCCGCCATAAGAGACCCTGGAGGAAGCATATTCTTGGACCGCGTCGCGCACTTCTGGCACAGTTGAATCGATAAGAAGATGCCGTTGCTCGATTTGAGTGCTACGGTTTTTGTCGGTGTCCCTGGCCGCATCATCCCTTTCGGAGGGGGCAGCTTCACTGGTAACGGCAAGGGAACTGTTCGAACTCAGTGGCACATCGGTACGGTCTTCTCTCCAAAAGACTTCTGTCGCTAGGCTAGCATGGCAAGTAGAGACTAGCCATTGGACCTTATCCGAGAGCTCCGAGGTCACCGTGACTAGCTGGATCAGGTCCCTGGCTCCCCATTCGGATGCGTATGGCTCAAGAGAGCTCGCTTCAAAGTCTTGGTGGTCGCCAATCTCATCGCAGAGGTCTTCCATCGCATCGACCACGAAAATCATCGGCTTACAGCTCTTGTCCTGCAAGATGTCACACAGGAGCGTCGCCATGGCGTGAAAGTCACCCGGGCTGTCAAAGTCTTTCAAGCCCGTGGACGAGAATTTGCGTTCTAGGTGCGTCTGAAGTGCATCCTGGGTCCAAAGAACCTGCCAGATGAGACTCTTTATGACGTCTGTGACGGTATCCCGCCGAGAGCTGCGGTTGGCGTTGGAGAAAAAATAGGCCACTTCCTTGTTTGGGTCATCCAAGAGCCTCCTGACGATGGCCTGAAGGAACGTCGTCTTGCCGGTGCCCGCATCACCCGCAACCCAGAGCACTCGGCAGCTGCCGTCGTTCGCGCTCCAGTCGCGATACTCCGAGGTGCCAGCTGCCCACTCGTAGATCAGGTCCGGAGCACGACCTGAGCCGCTGTCAGGTGGCCGAGGAGGTACGTGTCTGGCATGAAGCTTGGCGAGGAGAGTCGTCGTCATCTGAGAATCCGCCTCAGACGTTTCTGTCGATTGTGCTTCCTCCTGGGACTCTTCTGTCGGCTCGTTCTCCTGCTCTCGGTTCTCTAGCCAGCATTGTTCTGTTACGAGCAGCTGTCGGAGATTGGCCTCTATATCCATTCCGCCGGAGTCGATCACAAGGGAATGTTCTCGCCTTGAAATATCCGCTCGCAACCGATCGTGATCGAGCAGCTGATGTATCTCGGTTATGACATCATGTCGTGAGCAAGCAATGCGAATCTGGTAGAAGAGAATGGCTTGGAATAGGCCAATTAGACCGACTCGAATGAGGCTTCTTTGAGGCGCGGCGCTCTTCAGAGGCTGTTGGTCGCTTCTGTCCATGGCAAGCAGCCTAGGGAGGCCAATGTACCATTCCAGCCTCGATGTGAGGAGGATGATTCCCGAACTCGGGGCCTCGGTCCCCGGATCATGGTGAACTATTGCTTGCTATAGAAGCAGATATGTTGCGTCGCATTAGAACAGCCCAGAGCTTGAATGAGACAGTGGGTAATGCAGGCTGGGCCATACCTCGACGCTCAGGCACGTAGCCGCCCAGAGCGTGGGGAGCGCCGAAAGTCTCTCGGTTAGGATTCGGATCTCTTTTCTTAGGGATCTAAGCCGAGAGGGAGGGACCTCTGTGTCGTCGCCAGATCTCGGTGTCTCGCCACCATCGTTCAGCCATGCCCACGCGTCCACAGCCTTTGACATTTGCCCCCGTCTTTTGATCCAATCTGTCCAAACGATGTCGAGATCCCCATCGGTGCATCTCAGGCAGGTTGACAATGTCTCCTCGTACGCGGCTAGCAGGTCTGGATGTTGTTCTCTGAGCCCATCGTAGGCTTCATCCCACAGATTCAGGTCATTCTCTAGAGGGAAGGACGAAGGGGATGTTTGCACGGCTCGAGAGCTGTACGCAACCCCGCCGGCCAAGTCATCAGGAAGCGGCAGGGACTGTTGGTTCTGGGCGTTATCGTTTCCGTGAGCGTCTATTTCCTTCTGTTGCGCCTCCGCTGCGGGAAGTGATTGCTCAAGACTCCCTGGACCTGCTTCCGTACCCTTTCCTGGAGGGTTAGGAGCTCCGGGAAGACCGGGGTCCGTTGTGGGAGGTGTTGACGCCGCTCGAGATCCGCCGTCATGGGGTTTCGATCGCCCGCCCGGTCGGATCAACCCTTTGCCCAGTCTCTTGGCCGTCGATAGAAATCCGGGACCATGGGCAGATCCCTTGCTCGACTGGTGCTGCTCCGTCGCCATTGCCAGATAGCGGACAAACAGTCACGGATGGACACGGGGTTTCAGTAGGTATGCCTCCGCATGGATGCGGACTACATAGTAGGCGCCAAGGCAACCAAGCTCCAGCGGTGCTCAAAGCCACGGGCCCAGAAAAAGGAACGGCATGGGCCTTGAGAAGATACGCACCTGGGACATCGCAATCACCCAAGCGTGTACAAGCAACCCCCCGCTGTACGGCCTCTTTCCGGACATCGTGGAAGGGTGGGTACATGTAACCTTGCAGCCTGATGCAGAGCTACCTACCCGTGAGATACATCGATCCAAAGTACCCCAGCTCTCCTCGTCAACCCACATCAAGCGCAAAGGTTGGGGTTGGGATGACGGCTGAGTGGTCTATCGGGGAGAGGCTCTCGGGACGGCCGGGGTGTCACCTTTATCTAGGTAGTTTTCAGCTCCTTTCCAACTAGCCAATAGTTAGGGCTTCTCGGTATCACAGGTGCGGGGGACGGCAGAAAACAATACGTTATCTCGCGAAGCGCGCCGACACTGCCGAGATGCACTTGGTCTTTCAATACCTATTGAGCGCCCAGATTCGAGAAGCTCCTCTGTTTCGACCTGCCTACCTACCTTAATTGAGGGTCGCCCCATGCCCAACCCCATAACTTATTGGACTTGCCCGTTGAAGGCCCGGCCCCCGCCCTTCTCAGCAGGTTACATGCTTTTATCAGGCTGGGTTGGTCCAACTTCTGATTGTTGATTGGATGCGGGCCAGATCTTGGTTTAGCCAGAACAGCTGCACGTCCTTGTCGAGCTGAGCCTGCTGCAGCTGCAAGATGGTGGTGTCCTGCGCTGTGACGCGAGCCTCGAGATGGGCCATCCGAGCTTCGAGACTCGTGAACCGTGCCACGTCAGCACAGGGTGTGGGTGCGGGTGCACCACGCGGCGCGGCCTGCCGTGATGGCGCCTCGCCGCCACGGTCGGACCCCGCGCCAAAGTGGTGGTGCCTGCTGGAATCGGTTCGAAGTTCCTGTCGCGTCATCGTGCTCACGACTGGCGACGGATCCAGCGCTGCCGCTTCCGTTTGGGAGATGGGACGCTCCGTGACAGGCTGGACCCGGACCGCCTGCTGTGTTGTGGCCATCTCCGCGGCCTCCAGGCCCGTCCCCTTTCGCATCGGGGCATGCCCGTCTTTCTTCATAGCGACGAGCTCCTCCTGTTCGTCAGGCTTAACCGTCGCCGGGTGCCCTCTGGTCACTTCGGCGGTTTCTTCCTTATTGGCATCGACAAGCCCCTGGTTTTCCTGGGGTTCGGACTCAGGTGCCTCCCCCGCGCCAAGCTGATATTTCGGACCCCAGTTCACGTTCAGCTTGGTGCTCGACTTGGGATCCACGAGCTTTCCCAGGTGGCCCAGGTCCACGCACTTGATGATGTCGTTGCCCTCCAAGTTGCACCACGTCGCCTGCCCTGGATTTGGAGTCACGGGAAACTTGCTGCCGTCCTTGCGTAGCCCGATGGCTTCCTTGGCTGTGAGCTTGAAATCGCGAAAGGTGTGGGTTCGCCCAGTCATGGTGAACCTGACCGTATACGGACTTGACGAGGCCCTCGAGACCAGGATGGCCGCCCAGAACTCGGGCGTGATACCCTGGTTCTGGAGGTGGTTCTGCTTGAGCCACCATTTGACGCCGTTGGGTCTTCCCTTATCGTTGAATGTGTGCACGACACGTGCCTCGTCGAAGCATGTCCGATCCCAGGACACGCTCCCTTCGCTGCTGTGCTCGAGGGTGACCTTGGAGCCCTCGTATCCCACGTCGATCGCCTGTCCCGTCTTGTTGGCGGTCTCGTGATGGGCCACGACGCGGTTGAACCGCTCTGTCTCGTGGAACGGAGCCCAGGCGACAACCTCCGGGTCGTCGCCGCGGGGGTCGAGGAATCGCAAGGCGGCAGTGACGCTCTGCAGCTTCGTTTCAGACTCGCTGCTGGGGGTGGACAGGAACACGAACTTTAGCACCACAAGCGTTGCTTCCTTGGAGGGCTTCTGGTCTTTGTCGAGCCACCCGTCCGCCCAGAGCAGCCGCTGAACGGAGAGCGTGCTATCCGTGTCCTCTTTGTGATAAATTGGGACGCTGCCGGGCAAGACCTCATACTGGTATCTGAGCCTGCCGTCTTCAAAGTCAGGGTCCGCCGCCGGGTCCGTGTACAGCGGAAAGGAGAAATCCTTCGACGGGTCGAGGAGTTCAAGGTCGAGGACATCGTTGTCGTGCACGTTGCTCATCCTGGAGTGGTTATGCGTGTAGCACGGGTCGAGGAGCTTTCTCTCGCGATGGTCGCGATGCTGGTTGTTACGGTGGAAGTAGAGCGCCTTCCCGCCTCTATTGGACCAGATAAATAGGCGGTGTCACCAGGTCAAGCACCGACGAACTCCTTGCAGGTGATTGGGCCTTGTACGTGCCGTGTGCACACCTTTCGGCGTACCTGGGTGGGATAAACGCCCGATTCCGAAAATGGAAGGTGAGGTGTCTGCCTGATACCTTAGTTGTCCGTGGCTAACCCAATCTATTATCTGACTGCAGCCACGCGGTATGTAGAGCCCGTTGAAGGTAAGGTACGTAATGAGTTTGTACCTGGCCAAAGGTCCGAGCAAATATTCCCCATTGGAATCGAGGGCGAATCAGCTGGGCACATCCCGTCGAGATACGGATTGCCTGGCAGCGTGGTTGGCTGGCTACACACCACTAGAGCTACCTAGAAAGGCGATGCGGCCGCCGTGGGGATGATATACTGCATACATCGTGCATGGGTGTGAACGAATCACCTGCGTGCCGGCGACTGCAGCCTTGCCCATGCTGAACAGGAAAAGACTGAGTCAACGGACCGATCTCCCCGCTGCCTCCGGCGGCTTTTCTGCACCCACCCTCTTCCTACTTCGCATCGCTCTCGATCAAAACTTGGAGCTACCCGAGACGCAGCTCAGTTTGTCGGACAGAGTTGGAAATCATTGGATTCATTGCCCCCTCCCATCAGCCTGCTGCCATGGACTACACAAAAACCCAGGCGACGGGCAGCTCGGTTGACATGGAGAAGGATATAAACGACAGTTGGGCGAAGTTCCAGAAGAAGCTCGATCTCAGCAGTAGTTTTGGTTACCTTGTCAATGGCTTGCACAGAGACCTCGTTTCCGCGCTAAAGAGGGCCTCCGAACAGGGCGTCAGGGAGGAAGAGGCATCGCGCCAGATTTCCCGCTTCCTGTTTCCGGTCGACGAAGAGAAAAGATTAGACCGAAAGAAGGACAGGTACAGAAACGCGGCGGAAGACAAGAGCATTATGGACGACTGTGTTCGCTGGGTGATCCTCTCTGCTGCTGTGACCCCCGACAGTAATGACCAAGAGCAGAATATTTTGGACACAATACTGCGGGAGAGAGGCTATCTTGCCTTTGAGAACATTAACCACGAACCCATCAAGAACAGCTGCCGGTCGAAAGCTCATCAGGATAAAAGCCTCAAGAGCGAGAAGTCAACCATCTTTCACCAGGCGATCAGACACAGGAACGCAAAGGCCATCGAGATCATCCTTTCCAGGGGCAAGGACTTCTGCGATAAGGTCCGCACCGGCACGGTCCCACGCAGAGATGGCGCTTTCTGGCCTGCTGAAGATGCTGCGAGTCCCAAACTTGACCTGCTGCTGCATGTGGCGGGGCACAAAGACAAGCACGCAAACACCGCGCTAGACATCTTGGCGGAGGATATCGACGAACAGTATACTTTCGAGGCGTTGAAGACACTCCTCGACAAGCTCCCCGGCCTCGTGGAGAAGGCCGACAAATTGTTCGAGACGGCTCTCGAAAACGACAAGTTCGAGATTGCGGCGAAACTCCTCGAGCCCAAGGAGGGCCAAAAGCTATTCGCCACGAGCAAGTACATCAAGAAAGCCCTGGCGAAAGTGACCCCGGCCGACGAAGAGAGCTCTGGGAACCCGCGAATGAAGATGGTTCAGGACCTCCTCTCGCACGCGGGGACGGAGGCTAGGTTTAACATCGAGGTGCTGGGCAATTTGATACACCACGGGCTGATGAAGACGTGGGACACGATAGCTAAGGACGTGCCCGAGGAGTGTCAACGCCGTCTGCTTCACCTCGCCGTTTTGCGTCGGAACTTCGAGTTTGCGAGAAGGTTTCTGAAGGAATACCCTAAGTTGGCGAAGGAAAAAGTCAGTTTCCCCGAGTTCCACAAATCGCTCGACAGTACGGCAATAGAAGAGGGGTTCTATCCTCTGTGGTACAACAACAAACAATGGGACGAGGGCAAGAGGGGCTGGGTTGACTGCAAGGGAGATAAATCCATACGCTCCCTTATCGTTCATCACACCATCAGAACCGAGAAGAAAATGCAAGATCTGGCCATCACTTTCCAAAAATCAGGAGGTAAGCTACCACGACCCAGAACCCCCATCTCCCTCAAACTGGTCGCCACTAACACTGGGACCTGCGAGCAGAGCCAGGTAGGCCCCCATGATTCCCAGTGCTTGCACGAGAAGCGCGCAGGGTGCTCAAACCATTCGGTTATCTAGCAAAGGATCTCTGTTTCGACCTCTCCGGCTTCACTTCCAAGCGGTATCAGGTATCAGACTTGGTCGAGTCGCTGACCGACGACGAGAAGAAGCTGGTCGAGTACGAGGAGACTTTACGGTATGTTGAGTTGCCACCGCTCGACCTGAACGCCGAAAAGTGGGAGACGTTCCACGAAAATAAATACCTGGCAGTTGAGCACAGGGAAGCTTTCAAAATCCTGAAGTGGCTCCGCAACAAGCACCAGGTGCAAAACATTATCAGCCTCAAGGTGCCTGACCGTCTGATCAACCCGCACGACGAGTGGGCGATCGCCGCAGAAGTGAAGAAGTTCAAAGTCGAGAATCTCGACTGGCGCTTCCTCGATATGTCTATATACGTCCTGGAGGAAGGAGAGGTCCGGGATAGGATCCGGGAGCTCGACCTATACGCGAGCGGAAAGCATGCGCCAATCAGACACTGGCTGAGCAGCGAAGGTGTCCAGTCGCTCCGCAACGTAAGTAGTAGGTATTTGGCGGAGGCATTCTCCATCTGTGTTGCCTCGTTACCAGGGACTTCACCGCTTTTACCGTTGACCCGGGATTGCTGACACGCCTTCGCTCGCATGTGCTCGACAGCTGGAGAAGCTCCGGATTCACGTCATACAGGTAGAAGCGCTCATTGCCGTTTCCCAGTCACACCGCATCTAGATCAGTCGACGCTAACCTTAGGGCACGACCACAGGAAATGGGGAGTGAGCAGTTCTGTGAAGCCACCGTCAAACGCATTAAAGAGGAGTTCGAGTTCCTCGAGCCGAGGGTTAGTGTGACTGTGCTTGCGGAGTTTTGGAATGGACGGCCAAAACAACCCAACCTAAACGAATTGTATGTTTTTTGCAGAGAGCCCGGGCCGGCGGCGAGAGCGCCTGGCACTGTCAAGCGTCCCGAAAATGCTAATGTTCCAACCTCACCAGGGCTCAGCGGGTGGCTCCCCAGCTATCCCAGTTCATCCGGAGCTACCGTATGTTGGCGCACACAAGACGCCAAGAAGATCCAAACAAGGGCTTCATGCCGATCAAAGTGGCGATCATTGATAATGGCATCCTCAGCATAGCACCCAAGGCGCAGGACAAACTGCGAGCGGCGTCCGGCGTCGGCAAGGAGCAGCGACCCAAGAGTGGTTCAACCAAAGACCAGCCCAACAACCAGGACAACGCCAACCGACCTGCCGGCAAGGAAAACAGCAGCAGCGACTGGGCCGAATTCTTTGGCGACAATAGTCTGTCATCACGGATCGAGCTCGGCTGTTCCTTCGTCGGCGAGACGGCCAAGCTCAGCCCCTGGTCCTTCGCTTCCAACCCCCACGGAACGCAAATGGCCAACCTGATTTGTGCCATCGACCCGCTGTGCAAGCTCTACGTGGCCAAGGTGGCGGACGGCATGAGTGGGATAAAGCCCGAGAGGGTAGCGAGGGTGCGTGTGCAAGAGCAACCAAACCATTCTGCTGTTCCGCGGCGATCGACTAACTGCCGTCCATTCTTGACAGGCTATCGAATGGGCGATCTCCAAGGGGGTCGACGTAATCTCTATGAGCTTCACCATGCTTGACAGTCACGACGATCTGAAGACTCAGATGAACATAGCCAACACGAAGAATATTGTCATGGTCTGCAGTTACCACGACGAAGGGTCCAGGGTGTTCGAGGCGTGGCCGGCGGCCCATCAGTCGAGCTCAAAAATGGTCATTGCAGCTTGCGACAAGTACGGCAAGCTTATCCGGGACGTGGCGGAGAACGACAAGCCGCTTTACGATTACAAGGTGGAGGCCGTCGACGTCCCCGCGGGCGCCATCCCGTTCCTCGACTCAAATGACCGCATCTCGGGCAGCTCGGTGGCCACCGCGCTGGTGGCGGGCTTGAGTTCCCTGATCCTGTCGTGCTACCGGCTCGCCCACCCACAACTGTCCGCGAACACGCGCTATCAACAGCAGAAGATGCCTATCGATATCATAAAGGAGCACCTGGATCGGATGAGGAACGGGCCGGCCGACAAATATCTCCTCCTCGAGAATTTTGCCAAGACCAAAGAGCAGAGCAAGGATGGCAGCATCCTCGGACCCAGCGATGTCTTCGCGGAGTTGTTCGGTCTGAAAAAGCAGGTGCGGCTTGGGGCTTGACAACGAGCAGTAAGCATAGGCGGCATCATAGGCCTGGACTAGCCATTGATCTGTACTTTTTTTTTCTATTTCTTTTGCTTCTTGTTTCTTATGGCCTCTTTCCTACGTAATGCTGGTGACAGGTGCCCTAGCAGCCTAGCTTGTCTACTCGCTGCCCCCCCCCAATCGGCCCAGCGAGTAGGCACTGGGCAACTAGACACCCAGTCAATTTGGCACTCCTTCTTTCGGAATAATTCTGCCAGTGACGCTCTATTATAAGTATTTAAGTGACAATGCCTTTGATTGGGCAGCAGTCCTGCTGTGCGGCAAGTTTAACCGTCCACGGATTACTCTTGAAGGAGGAAATTCCAACGTCGAGATTCGCATTAGGCTGAAACTTGCGGTCACCTCCTACACACAGTTCTCCCGTTGTGTCACAATCTGTGTCGGGGTTTGCCTATTGGGTCCAATATGTTGGGCGGCCCATATAAGCCCACTCTCCTCAGGTTCCCAGCACGGGAGCCGGTTTCCGTTTTGGGGTTCCAACACAATACCGTACCCGTACCCCGCTCTCGACCCCTCGCTCCTTTAATTCGAGTCTACAAAGTTCTCTAGCAAAAGAGGCAGGTCTACACCCCCTATCAGTGGATTCCATACCTACCAGCTAACTACTATTCCAGAGCAGACTCGCTGTCTCGGCTTATAGACCACTCGAACACGGAGGACTTTGCAGTGACCCCGCCCCCGCCTTCGGGTTCTCGATCGGCTGGTCTCGGCATGCTATGTTTTTTTATAACGTACATTATCAGCGAGCGGGACATTAATTTCTTGGCACAACGCGTCCTTCCTCATCTACCTCTAACAACGCGTTTTTCCTACAACTAAAGATGTCTTCCACTTCAAAGGAAGCTAGGGTAACCTTGGCCCTCAAGGCTCTTGAAAATGATACAGAACTAAGCCTTCGAGCCGCGGCCAAGCTCTATAACGTGCCAGTTTCAACCCTCGGCTACCGACGTACCGGCCGGCCTATACGACACGATCTTCCAGCCAATTTGAAGAAGCTTACCCAATCTGAAGAGGAGGCTATTGTTCAATATATTATTGAGCTATCTATACGAGCTTTTCCACCAAGATTAAGTGGTATAGAAGATATGGCCAACCAACTATTACGCATACGCGATGCGCCCCCTGTCGGCAAGCTCTAGGCGCATCGGTTTGTCAAACGCCAGCTAGAGCTCCGTACGCGTTATTCGCGAAGATACGACTACCAGAGGGCAAAATGCGAGGATCCGAAGGTCATTGGCGAGTGGTTTGCCCTTGTACGGAATATCAAGGCCAAGTACGGTATCGTAGATGACGATATCTATCACTTCGACGAGACTAGGTTTATAATGGGCATTATCTTCCCGGGCATGGTGGTTACAACCTCGGATGGCTATGGTAAGGCGAAGCTAGCCCAGCCTGGCAACCACGAATGGGCGACGGTGATCCAAGGCGTCAATGCCCTTGGCTGGGCTATTCCCTCCGTTCATTATCTTAGCGGCGCAGTACCACCTCGCCAACTGGTATACCAAGTGCAACCTCCCGGCCGACTGGTGCATTGCAACCACCGACAATGGCTGGACTACCAATGTAGTAGGCCTTGATTAGATCAAGCACTTCGACTACCATATAGCGCCTCGGACAAAGGGCAAATACCGGTTATTGATCCTCAATGGCTACGAAAGCCACCACTCAACCGAGTTCGAGCTCTACTGCCAGCAGAACAATATTATCACGCTCTGCATACCTCTATATTCCTCCTATATCCTCTAGCCACTTGATGTTGGCTGCTTTGGGCCGTTAAAGCAGGCGTACAGTCGCTAGATCGAGGACTTGATATACGCGCATATTAACCATATAAGCAAGCTCGAGTTCCTTTATACCTTTCACACGGCCTTCTTTACCTCTATCACCAAGAGGAATATATAGGGTGGTTTTACAGGGGCTAACCTTGTACCGTATAATCTAGAGAGGGTGCTTTCGAAGCTAGAAATCAAGCTTCGTATACTAATACCCCCAACCTCATAGCCGGGCACTATATAATCTTAGGTCTTCTAGGCACCATACAACCCTCGAGAAGCCAAGTCACAGTCAACACTTATTAAGACTTGCTGTCATGAATTAACCTGCAGCGGCCGGTGGAGCCGACCTGCATGGTCTGCGGGCGACGCCTGCGTCCAATCGTTCCGGTCCAGGAACGGACCAATCAGAAGAGGATCACACTTGGCATAGGGAAGACTTAGTGATCCAGGTATAAGGCTCACAAGGGATCACTGGTGATCCAAGGTGATCCAGTATAAGGGATCACTAGAGGGAGGCCGTGATCCATAGGAAGAACCGTAGTATATAGGAAAGCTAGTTACTTGTTCTGGAGGACTCTGGGAGTTCCCCAGTAAGCAATTACAAGCAGTAAAGTAGCCCTATATTACTATGCAGACATTGCGACTGAGCATTGTTGTGAACCTTTTGGCTTCACCAAGACCTATAGTCCGACTAGCAGTTACCTTCGACCGGTGAACCCTTTTAGAGGCAGGACTGCCTATGGTTTCGTCATACGTTACTTACTCCCTTTGACTCTGTCACGGTTCAGATCGAAGGTACCACCGACCATTATAGCGCCCTAGACACCTAGCACCCCGGAATCCCAGAGCCAGGCTGCGACTATACGCCAGATGCAGCAGGCTCTCGAGGCTCTCAACGCCAAAATCGCCCAGCTTAAGGCCGAAAACGGCCATATGCAACAGCTCGTTAACAAGGCCTATAACGGCAAGCCTAAGGACAAAGCCAAACTCGAAGTACCCCCTAAGTACGGAGGCGATAAAGAAGGACTTATTGGATTCCTTATATCTATAAGGGCCTACCTCAAGTACTACCCGGACAAGTTTGCGGACGAATCTGCCAAAGTCATGTTTATCTCCTCGCAGCTTGAGGGGAAGGTACTTCGATAGTTTGAACCTACCCTTAAGGATTGGCTAACCAATAGTATAGACGCTTAGGACGACTTCATTATTGAAATTTTCAAATCGTACGACAAATTTAAGCAGGAAATCCAAAAGGTATTTAGAGACTATAATAAGAAGCTCTATATATAGGAGCAACTCGTACGCCTAAGGCAGATAAAGTCAGCGGCTGCCTATACTATATAGTTCCGCTAGGATTCACTTTGGTACAAGATCAATAACGAAGGTCTTATATATATATATTCTCCTACTCCGCTGTGCCTAGCTATTTACAAGGCGCGCCGGACCCTCTACTGCTATGTACAAAGGAAAAACCGTACCGTTTAGGCCGGGTGAAAACCTTCATCAAAAATAATAGGAAAGACATGGTTCCAGTGATACACGCTGCTGCAAGTAAAGAAAAAGGCCTTGGGAAGGCCTTGGGCCAACGGCTAGTAGGGTACTAGCCCGGCTAAGCCGTGGCCACGGGTATGGCTAGCCGGGCTCCCTAGCTTCCAGTTCGTCATCAAGGTTCCAAGCGAGCCTGTATTCCCCTAGCCGGCCCGAGTTCATCAGCCAACCCAGTACCTTCTTCAGAAGTCTTCGGTTTCGGTAGCTTAGGCCCTGTAAAACAAGGCTAAGATCCCGGTGGGTGCGTATTAGTTGCCTAGGCCAAGTTCTTGGTATAGGTGGTATAGAGCACCAAATTACGAGATGCTCCACTGTCTCTCGGGCTTCTCCGCATTCGCAATAGGGGGTAGGCTGGTTACGGGCCTTTTGTTTGAAAAGAAAGTCCTGTAGGCCTATAGCTCCTGTACGAGCCTGTACTAGTAGGGAGCTCTTGGCCTTTGTAAGGCCTTGGTGTTTCCGTAGGCCTTGGTTTGTGAAGAGGACTGTTGGTAGGCCTTCGTCGGCTAGCCTGGTTGGCTGTCCCTGGACCTGGGTTTTCCACCTGGCCTCCCAAGCTCTTAATAATGCCCAGTCATCCTGGGTCTTGGCCAATGGTGGGCCCAAGGCTTTAGCCTGGGCGTTCCATTCGGCCACTACAGCCGAGGCCTTTTCGACGTCTGTTGGCTTTCCTGGGCTCCGGGGCCGGCCCCGTAGCCTCCGGAACCTTCGTTGGAGCCTGTTGCAAGCCCCTTGGGGAAGGTCTTATATAGTTATTCTACAATGGCTTAAAGGAAGAAGTCAAGGATGAACTATACTAAAAGGACCGACCCGATACACTTGATGAATATATCGCTATGGCTATCTATATTGACGACCGAATTTATACTAGGCACCAGCAGCATAAAGGACGCAAAATACAGCCTATATTTATCAAGGCCAACGACAAGAAAAAGCAATAATATCCTAGTACGTTATATAGCACCTATGCTAGACCAATAGACGTAGACATTATCTAGCGTAAAGAAAAGGGACGGAAGGATAAGTCCTAAGCTACCTGTTTCAACTACGGCAAGAAAGGACACTTTAAGCGGGAGTGCCATAGCAAGAAGAACTAGAAGCGGGTGCCCGGCAAGGAAAACGCTATAATCGACAAGTCAACCTACGTGGTTGAAGTGGCTGCGGCAAGCTATACCGAGGATGACTTCGATAACGCAGTTGACCGAGGTATAGCCGAAGGAAGTATCGACGACTCCTCTCAGTCAGGAAGCAATAGCCCCTATATTGCGTTCGAAGGGCCTATTATAGGCTACGATATCGCTGCTGCTATAGCATTACAACTCGTAGAGGGTTGGGGATTCCAGTTGACCTAGAACGAAGAAGGTCAATAGAGGATACGATAATCGGGCGACGAACCTATTGGCCCGAACCCTATCTTCCTCGCTCAGCGCCTTTAGGAGGCTAAGGAGGAACAAGCCGAGCTTCGGACGGTTACCCGCAGACTCGCAGAAGAAAAGGCTCAGGCTATAAGCCAGCTGGAATTTGTTAAGGCCAAGTTGGTCAGGGTCTAGGAAGAGCACTATTTAAACTTGTAGGATGGACCGGCATAGGACCTAGGCCAGGATAGGAGAAACAATGGAATTAAGAACCCCAAGGCTGAATACTAGAAGGCCTAGAACCAGCAAAGACTTAAGGGGTAGGAACTATAAGATTGGGATACTTTTTGGAATAAGAAGCCGTATAACGGCGTCGGGGATAGCAACGCGGTATATATCTAGATTGGATTCGGCCCGTGCTACGAACCCTATGAACAAGACGCACTTCGACTCTAACCCCAGCGATATAACTATGTCTATGTCCTATGGTTCTAGTGCATCGCGTATGAATGCCGCTACTATTTTCGATCAAAATTTGATAACGACTTTTGGCCCGATAGGCCTACCGACCGAAACGGAGAACCCCAACTAGTCCTATAGGTTTGTGATATAGGGACCGGCGCCGACTAGTTCCTATAGAAGGTCGAGAGGACCAACGTATACGATAGAATTAGGGTGA